TGCAGAAATACCTTAACGTATGAACGTATGAATATAGCTAGTTCATCATTTGGAAGGCTCAGAGAAAGGGTTTGGGGCTGCTGTGACATTCGCGCAGAATAAAGTCGAAAGTCAGCAATACTGTGGCTCTCCCAACCCTGTTGTATGGTGCTGGGACCCTGAACAGCGTACCAAAGTGATGCCAAGAAGCTTAAACATGTCCATATATGAAATGCCTCAGGAGAATTCTTGGAATCAAATGGCAGGATAAAATACCAGACAAGGCATTAAAGTTCTCAAGAAGGCAAATGGTGTTGTTTTGTTGTTGTTGGGGGGGGGGGGTTTAACTCAAAAGGACTCAACTTCGCTGTCTGTGTACAAGAATGTCTTATTTCAAAATCCCAAAAGCAACATGCTATTCTGAAATGTCCCCAAGGAAGCGTAAGATTGGTGCACTAAAAAAGCGCGCCACAAAGACACCACGAAAAGGTCTCTGAAGGACTCATAAATACTTTGACATGGGAGAGCATAGCTCGACATACCCAGCTGGAGAGGAGCAGTCACAGTAAGCAGCATATCATAAAAGGCTTATTGAGTAAGAAACACTGAAGCCAAGAGAAAAGCTGCGCACATCCACAAGTGGAAGTGGGGTCTTTAAATGTTCGAAGTGGCAAACTTTTCTCTGTCAGAATTGGTTTTATTGGCCACAGCAGAAGCCACAAATAATAAGTCATCTTAACCTTTAATTATTATAATTCTTCTTGGAGAAATTTATTATTATTCTCATTTGCGGATGTATTGGTCAATTGTTAGGCATTGACGGACAAACTACGCAGGCCTAGTGGTAATCAAAAGAAAGGTACCACTTTATGAGTGTATTTTTAAAAATATAGTCTTTTGAGTTTTTATGCTTTTCCTTTCACGTGAGTAATGTTGGAGGTCTAAAAAGTGGGCCATATTATAAAAACAACATTTTGGTGTTTCAGTTCGTGTTCCCAGCACCAACATCTAAAAATAGACAATTTGAATATATCATTTTTTTCTAAATATCTATCACGTTGTGGATATTTTTTTCGATTCTTTGGAAGGGGGGGGGGGTCTATGTATTTTTCGATGAAAGCAACTGCATAAGGTCATTTGAGGCGGGGCGCATTAAACATCAGTTGGTAGGAAATTTGGAATTTTGCCCGGGTGGCGGCCGAAGCCTACTCTTATCGATGTTAGACCACCAAGGGATATTTAACGTGCGCAACTTGCACGCGGGAGCTGCGAGATTTCTAGGTGAAGATCTTTCCTACCAGAAGATCAGGGGTGTGGCTGAAAGACTGCAGTGAGAAGGAGCGAATGGGTAGCAGCAGAAAGGCTGTAGAAAGAGTCAGGAGCCCAGAGGAGGGGGTGAAGTAAGTGAGAGAGTGGGGGCAGAAAGTGGTGACGAAAGAAGACGACAGAACATTCATGCTATTAACCTTTCAAACAAAAATAATAATGTCATGTACACACTTGTAAAAAAAATAATTTCAAATGCGTTACGGATTTTCCTTTATCTTGCAATTTGCTCAAATTTT